TTTTAATTAATTTACTAGCCCTTTAATTGTATCACACAAGGATTTTTTACGGTTAAAAATAGTTCCAGAGCAGTAAGTAGTAATAAACTCAAAGTGAATGCCAATAAAACTCACAATCAGAAACTTTTTATTTCCTCAAATTGAGCAATAATAATGACTGTTTAAAGCTGTTGGGTGTAGTTTTGGATGATGGTTTAAACTGGACAAGTCATGTTGAATACCTCATGAAGTTGCTTCCAAGCATTATATTTTTAATTCGGCAGTTAAAACCTATAGTTAGCCGTAATACTCTAATTTCTGTTTACTTTGCCTTCTTTCATTCACGTTTATATTATGCAGTCTCATTATGGGGCAATTTGAGCCATCCTAATAAAAAATTTTATTTACAAAAAGAACTAGAATTAGAATTAGAACTAGAGTTTAGGGGCGTATTTTTGAGGTCAAAATAAACTTTTTTCCCATAAACGTTGGTCCACAAATGCCTAGTTTTCGATATACAGGGTGTTAAAGTTTTTTATTTTTTTCGATTTTTTTAGGAATAATTTCCAAACAGATTTGAAATGTTGGCATAAAACTTGGGGTACGGTTTTTTTTTAGGATGCTAAATTTAAATATGTCATTGCTTTTGACGCTGCTTGTAGAGGGCGCCACCTATAAGCGTACGCTTGAATTAAATTGGCCCTAATATAATAATACTTATATAATTATTATTATATTATATTATTGNTATAATTTTGTATATTATTATTATTATTTCATTTTTATTACTTGGAAACATTTAGGTACATAAATTTCAATATTTTATAAATATATCTGCACTATATTTGCATTTATGTCTGTAATATACGTGATTATTGGTGACCGCAGTGCGGTGATGATTATAAAACTTGAACGAAAAACTAAACGGTAACGTAATTCCCAGAATCCTCTTAATTCCATTCACAAAATTTCAAGTGATGTAATGGTGTTACGTGATCAGTGTTTTGTGTTTTTTAATGTAAATTTTTGAAGGCGTGACCTGATGGTATCTGTACAGGGTGTAAATAAAATATTTAGTCAAGCTTTAATGGCGGACTCTTGTCACAAATCAATAAGAAAAAGTTCATACAAAAGCTCATGTGTCGGGTCTTTTTTGAAATTAAAATTAAATTAAATTATATTAAAAAAAAATAATAGCAGAAACAAGCCGTCATAAAATATATCAAAAAGCAAAAAAAAAAAAATACGAAAAAAGGTTAAAGTGATTTCGTTCAAATTTGTGTGCAACTTTAATTTTTGATTTGCCCACATACTTATGTATTTGTTACATATACAAGGTGTTTGTAAACAAGTGCGAAATATTTTAGAGGGCGGTTGCCGAAGTTATTTTGTGAAAAAAAGTTCATGTAAACGTTGGTGTAAATATGCTTCGTTTCCGAGACAGAGTGTTTAAATTTTAATTTTTTATTTATTTTTATTAATTATTTTAAAGAGTTTTATAGATATCGACTCGAAATTTGATGGTTATATTTTATTTAGAAATATTGACAGCAACCTACTGGATAATGTATCAATAGAAATTAAAAGTACACAACTCGCAATAAAATATGTTTTATTTTATTTCTCAAAAAACGATGCATTCTACGAAAAAAATTGAAGAGTTCAATTTCATTCAAAATTTGTTTTATTAAAAAAAGGTTGTGGAATTCTCGCACGGACACCACTGGTACAAGTAGAAGTATTCGGATCACCCCAAAAAAATGCACATTTGTCCCTCCAAAACGTTTTTCAAATTTCGAATCAATATCTTTAAAACTCTGAAATAATTAATAAAAATAAATTAAACATTAAAATTTAAACACTGTATCTCGGAAACGAAGCATATTTCGACCTTCGAATTGTAGATAGGATGAACAGTTTATCCTCCTGTAGATGCTAACGTTTATATGAACTATTTTTCACAAAATAACTTCGGCAACCACCCCCTAAAATATTTCGCACTTATTTACAAACACCCTATAGGGAGATGTAATTCAAGGGTTGGAATTTTTTTTCGTCAAAGATATTTTAAATGCTACTCACTATTGTGGTAGGGAATAGAGGCTGTCCTAAAATATATTTTTTCTGCTATTACTAGAATGTATAGTTTTCGAGATAAATGATAAAATGTTAGACAGTGTCTAGGTAATTCTTGTCAAAAATTTCACATTAATTTTAAACACACTGTAATTTAAGCAGTGTTCGGACACACATGTTCAAAATAACTTTTTTTGTTGATTTGAGTCATAGAATTCGTTATTAAAGTTTGTCGAGGTATTTTAGTTACACTCTGTATGTATGTTGTATACAGAATAGTAATAAATTATCTCGCTATATATTTTTATTTCGGATAAATTTCTTTAAAGGAGTATGTTAGATCTTAACATCTTAAAAGTTTGGGTGAGAATCCAAAAAGCAATGCTTTGTATTACTACAACTGGCAGAGAGTGACCTACTAATCTGTAGGTACTGTGAAAACGTAACTTGTTTGACGTTAGGCAAAATAGACCTACGTACCTAGTATTGGCCCACATCCGCAATAGTAAACATCTAAGATTATTCAACAGCAGTATCACGCTTTCGAATTTATTAGTTCATAGGTATGCCGTAGGTGGGACGACATATAACGAGCGTTCAAATAAAAATGTGGTCAAGTTGGTTCTGAAAATTTGGACGTAGGGCGTAACGTATAGCAAATGAACTTAAACGTCATCTGTCAAAGCGCAATATCGCCGCTATCAATTTGAATATTTTCGTTTTAAAAAGCGTTTAAAATGGTGTTTTCTCAAGAACAAAAAGTGTTTATCATAGAGTCCTACTTTAGAAATGGACGCAAGATTGATGGAATATGGAAGTATTCTATTGAGGAATGTTTCATAGAATTTCAAAATCAATTTCCCGGCGTTGTTGAGTACAAAATTTTTCAAAGTGCAGTTCAGCGTTGTGTTAATGTTTTTCGTGAAACGGGCAGTGTAACAAGAAAAGAAGGAAGCGGCCGACCTAAAAAGCGGACTGAAGAATTAATAGAAAATGTCCAACAAATAATGGAAAATGCGCCAAGAACTTCTGTACGTGTTTTATCACAAATGGTGGGAGTATCAGTCGGTACCTGCCACACAGTGTTAAAAAAAGATTTGCGTTTGTTCTCCTATCGTTTAACTTGTCAGCAAGAACTTCATGAAGTTGATTTTCCGCGACGGGCTGTATTTTGTGAATGGTTTTTAAACAACTACGGTGAACTTCATAATATCAACTTTTTTTCTGATGAAGCCTGGTTTCGTTTAAGTGGTTACGTAAACTCACAGAATATGAGAATGTGGTCTTCTGAAAAAACAGATAACTTTTTTGTCGAGGGCCCTCTACACGCTCAAAAAATTGGAGTTTGGTGTGCTCTCAATCGAAGGAGGATTTATGGCCTATATTTTTTAATGGAACTCTTACTGCGCAAAGGTATAGAGAAGAAATTATCGCTCCTTTTGTTAACCAGCTGGAAGAAAACGAAATTACAAACTATTACTTTCAACAAGATGGCGCAAGGGCACATACGGCAGGCGAGACGATGAATATGTTGAGGGCGACTAATAAGTCTCAATGCTGAACATGAATTTCCACCGAGGTCATGTGATATTACGCCGTGTGATTTCTTTTTGTGGCCTTACCTTAAAAACACCACTTTTGAATTGCATATTCCTGATTTAAACCATCTGTAGGCTCGACTTATAGACAAGATTCGTGAAATTAACAATACCCCGAGCTTCTTAGAAAATGTCTTTAATTCTTTGAGGAACAGGTGTGAAAAGTGTTTGGAACAACGAGGGGGACACTTTCCGCAGCTCCTTTAATTTATTGTTATAACAAGGAGGGGGACACTTTCCGCAGCTCCTTTAATTGTTTGTTATTGTTATCACGATTATTCTTTAAAATAAAGTTATATAGTCATTAACGTTATTAAAACTGACAGCTGCTATACAGCTTGTTGAGAAATGAGGTTAAGTTGGTCGCTATAAGCTACACCCTACGTCCAATGTGTCAGAGCCAACTTCGACCACGTTTTTATTTGAACGCTCGTTACTTTGTATGTTATGTCTCACCTACACTTAAAATACGTCGGTAGATTAATATCCAAATAGTTAAGTTGTTAGTCGGTCATCGCGGCACATACTGATGAGAACTAATAAGTTCGAAACCGGTCTGTGTCTGGTAAATCTGCTGATGAATGATCTTAGCTGTTTATTGAATATCGCGGGTGTAACTGAATGCTGGACGAGGTAAATAGACCGCAGAGTAATTTCCTACAACAGTATTAGTGAATAATCCTTAAAAGTTTGAATTTGGGGTCATTCGTGCGGTAAACTGTTGCTAACGAAAAAAAGACATCTGTGGTGGTTTAGAGTACGAAAGTAGTAGGAGTAAAATGTAGTAAAAATTAAAAGTAGGAACAAATAGTGATAGACATCCCTTAAAATCATCCCTAACTCAAGACGTTGGATTTGATTAATATTGCACAAATAAGTAAGATATATCGAATGACTTTTAAAGGGGTATATCCTCTTATTATCAAGTTTCGGAAAAAAGATTATATACGTTATTTTCTAATGTACCTACCTACAACACGCTTTGAAAATATTGGAAGATAATTTATGACCACCCTGTATATAAGTACGTCACCTTTAATGTAAATACTCTTTCAACAAAATGCCTAATGTATTTAAATCAAATCAGGCGAGGGTTGAGGTCACAGTAAATCTTAACACTGACCTATTTGGAAATCTTGTATTGACCTAACAGAATTAGGTGGTATACTGTATTTCCCATATGAAAGCATGATTTGTTGCCAATATTATGAATATATAGGGTGTTCCTAAATATCATGTACATAAGAGAGGGAGTAATTCTTTAGCTTATTTCATGACTAAAAATTAACATAGGTCCGCAAACGCTTCGTTAATGATCTACAGGGTGTTGAAATTTTAGGATTTTTTAGTTTTTTCTCTATAGCTCCTAACTTTTTGAGATATTTAGCTCAAATTTAAAATATAGGTAACCCTGTAGGGCTAAAGTTTTCAACTAGCAATAATCGCACCTCGAATAAACCCCATTGGTTACGATATTGCCACTGCGCAAAGGGAGGCGATGGCGGCATACCTTAGGATAAGGGACGCCGGCGGTTGGAGAGCGAAAGGACGCACAGAGGGCCATGCTGCCGTGGCCCTCAGGGCGGAGAGGGACATCCCAATATCCGCCATGAGGGTTACGGAAGCAGAGGACCGGCTTAGGTTTGGAAGGAAGTATGTCACCTCTTTCCCCTCGAGAGAGCAGTGGAAGCCGGATGATGATATGTTCTCCCCGGGATCCCTAGTGTGCTATACTGATGGATCTCGGGTAGAAGACGAGTCTTCAGGAGCAGGAATTTATCTGGAAGGCAGCGGCATCCAGGAAAGCTTTTCACTGGGTTTGTATGCTACAGTCTTCCAGGCCGAGGTTTTTGCTATTTTGATGGTAGCAAGCAAGGAGGAGGTAAGGAATTGTGCAGAGGAGAAGATTTTTATCTGCTCCGACAGTCAGGCCGCGCTCAGAGCGGTTAGCTCCCCGAGGACTAGGTCTGCCCTTGTCCAGGAATGTGGAGACGCTCTAGAGTCATTGGCCAGACGAAGAGAAGTAGAGCCGGTCTGGGTCCCAGGCCATAAGGGCATCCCTAGTAACGAGAGGGCGGATCAATTAGCTCATCATGGGTCCAGGGGACCTGGACAGGGACCTGAACCAATCTTAGGTATCACACGAGGCAGCATTAATGGGGCCGTCAATAAATGGGCCTATCAAACTTTAGGTCAGAATTGGAAGAGAAATAGAGGATGTAGGCAGGCCCATAGTTTTATATATGGACCTAGCAAATCCAAGACGAGATGGCTGCTGAGCCTCAGTCGAAGAGCCCTAAACCAAATGGTGGGGGTTCTGACAGGCCACTGCAGACTTAGGAGGCATTTAAGCTTAATAGGAATTGAGGAGGACCCTCTATGCCCGAAATGTGGCGAAGGGGACGACACCCCTGTCCACCTTCTGGGACACTGTGCAGCCTTTGGGATAATAAGACATAAAGTCTTTGGTGCTAAAGAGCTGCAAGGGGTTGAGGTGAGAGACCTTCCATGGACCAAAATCCTGGCGTTCGTTAGGGCGTCGGGTAGGTTCGAGGAGGGTCAGAGGCAGAGAGTGGTTAGGTGATGGGACGGCGGGGTAGTCAAAAAGGGCCCACTCGTGGCCTAATTGCCAGTCTGAGGTAGCCCCTTTACTACTATTACAACCCTGTAGGGCTTACATCATTGGCCATGCCAAATGGTCGTGATATTCTACAGAATGATATTTTTACGGGAGTCATTCTCCCTTTTCTGCCCCTGGCCTTTTATGCGATACGCCGCTGGTAGTCTAAAATCAAAATTGAATTTTATGCTTTGTTGAGAAACTTTTTGGTCTCTTTGGTCTCTCTTTGGTCAAAATTAATAGAACCAAGAGATTATGCAATTAAATCAAGTCTACTGAACTATTTTAAGAATTTCAATTTCATCTAACGAATTACACAAAATCGCGATTTATTTCTTTTCTCGACAACGGTCGCAGATACGAAAAAATCATAAGAGATAAAAAAGTTTCTCAACAAAACATAAAATTCAATTTCGATTTTAGAATCTACGAGCGGCGCACCGCACGAAAGTTCAGAGGAAGAAAAGGGGGCATGACCCCCGAAAAAATATCACCCTGTAGAATACCACGACCATTTGGCATGCTTATGATGTAAGTCCTACAAGGTAACCTATATTTCAAATTTGAGCTAAATATATCAAAAAATGTAGGAGCTACAGAGAAAAAACTAAAATAATCTTGAAATTTCAACACCCAATAGATCGGTAACGAAGCGTTTGTGGACCTATGTTTATATTAATTTTTAGTCATGAAAGAAGCCAAAGAATTACCCCCTCCCTTATGTACATGATATTTAGGAACACCCCATAAGTATCACATGGGAGTAAATTTTAATGGAATTGCACTATATGTTATTATTATACAATACTATTATGTATATGATTTGTTTTGTTTTTGGAAATTTTCCATATCCATATAAGAAATAAATTTTTTACGGAATAATATTCCTAACCAAATAAATGATAATTCAGATTCCCTGATGTCACGAAATAGTGCATTTAAATATTCCCAATATGGTAAATCCGTAACTTTTCACGGCCGTGCAAGGCTTCTTTGTCGTATTTGCATCGAATTTACGATGGTGCTTAGAGGTTTACTCTGTCGGGATTGCTAATAAATATTCCGGTTATTAACAATTATCTCGAAGCAAACATACGGCGGCCGTGTGTTACTAGCAATTATATCTTAATCTAGTAAGCTATTTTACATTGACATAATTATGCCGCCAATGCTAAATACTATACTCGGTCGCCAGCGGCCTCCTCTGATGTTAAAAATGAAAGTTATTGATACTGGCAAGTGGAGTCTCTTCTGGAACCTTTCTAGATATAATTTTTTGCTTAGTCATTAGCCATTTAAAGATTTTATGTTGGTTCTATTAATATACCGTCAGTAAATCACGTAATTTTACGAAATATCCGTAGAAAAGTAGGAACCCACAGGGTGGTCCGCCGTAAGTATCACTCTTTATTTTCTATGATGTATTTCGAGTTAAAAAGTGTAAAGATAAGAGTTTTTATAATGCCTACATTGAGTTAATTAAACGTCGTGTTACTGAGACATAGGCCTTATATGGGCGATTTATACTAAAGTAAATACCAATTTAAATTTCAAAATGATCCCACAAATGTTTTACATTTATTTAATAATGAATTACATCTGATTATTTTTTTTACTACAATCTTCGTAGTACTGGAATATAAATAAATTAACAAAATCTGTAAGCCACGAACTGACAGCAACCACAGTACTGATAGTCTGCAGCTTTCTATCAGTTTTTATTTACATTAACATTTATTTCTGAGAAAAACATATTTTTATAGATATGTATATAAATACTTAATTTGAAATTATTTGCTATGAACTTTGCAATAAAACATGTATGATTATTAAAATTTGCAAATGTTAAATACTATTTCTTAAACTTCTTCAGTCTCAGATCGTGGGATAAAGTTGAAATATATTGAAATGAATGGAAATTATACTAGTATAAAATAGAAATTTAGCATGTGAAGGTACATTAAAAAGAGTAGTAGGGATATAGAGAAACTTTTAAAATTGGAAATAGATAGTGAATTATGAAAATAAAAAGATTTTACAATTTTTTTATATAATTATAAGTAAATAAGGTACAAAATTAAGTGAAGTGGAAAAATCTTTTTACCCGTGTGCGGTATCCGGGAAACGAAAAAAGAAAAAAAGTTTGTGGAGTAATTTGAAGGATTAAAAAGTCAGAGACGGAAAGAAAGTTAAATTAGAAGTGTTTAGGCCACATTAATTAATTTGAAAGTTTTCTTTAATCGCATTCCTATCCTCTGTCACAGATGGCGTGCTATGTACAATATGTGAAACCAAACTGTTCCTTTTTTATTTTCTTTTTTTGTTTGTGTGACAAAAAAGAACTCTGATATAGAACCGCGTTCATTGGGATGGTTTTGTTGACAATTTTAAAAAGTGTTGTAAAAATTCTATAGTTTATACAGTAATAGTTTATAGTAATAGTTAATGTTCATTTCCTTTTTCGTGGAAATATTTTATTCATAGAATTGCCGCATCACCAGTTCGTCGTAGTAGTGTTATTACCTGTCTTTTCCTTCCTTCTATCTTTACTAGTGCGACAGAAGTGAGGGGGCACCATTTTGCTGTACTGGTGAGTAGCCACAGATATTTACAACATTTAACTTTAATACAGTCCGCTATAGTAAAATCACATACAAGAAGAAATAAAAGAAATTGTGGAAGATAAGAGTTTAGATAAATTATATTTCAAAGGTTGCTGTGAGAGAAGATCATAGAAGAAATAATAATCTTAGTAAGGAGATAAAATTTGAAAAAAATACTTACTCTTTAAAACGCACTTGGATTTATCCCGATATCATTTTTCGTCTTTGAGAAATCGCATGTTGAAATTTAGTAGTTTCACTTATTTCTCGATTTTTGAATATACTCACAACACAGCACCACGAACCTTATTAGTCCATTGAAAAGTTACATTTGGGGTTGCAAAAGTCAGAGCACGCAATTTTAATTTTTGGATGTCAAGAAGGGGTTAGTGTAAAGTTAAATCCATGTTTGTGGGGTCGCAACCCTTGTGCATCGGCCGCCATCTTGTAAAAAGGGCTGCGAATGGTTTTTATACTACTACTTACTATATCGGGCAAACTATTCGTCGCACAGAAAATTTGCAACAACATTTTTTGTTGCAAATTAAATTCTCTACAAATTTGGTTCCGTAGCTTTTAGTCGTAGAACCAAAAATAACAAAGTTATTAAAGAAAAAAATTTGGGAACGAATTTTCTTTTGGTCGTTATAACTTTTTTTCTGGCCATTTTACAAAAAAATTACATCAGATTTGATAGAGGGATTTCATAGACTTTTTGATAGAGGGGTTTTCAAGGAATAAATTACAAACTTTTTTCAAATTTTATTTATTTATTAGGGTTTTACAGCGATGCGAAACTTATACTATTCTCCAGTACTAGTAAGTATACATGAATATGAATGATTAGGCATAGTAGTATAAAAACCATTCGCAGCCCTTTTTACAAAATGGCGGCCGATGCACAAGGGTTGCGACGCCACAAACATGGATTTAACTTTACACTAACCCCCTTTTGACATCTAAAAAATAAAATTGCATGCTCTGCCTTTTGCACGCTAAGCCCAAAAAATGTAACATTTAAATGGACTATATGGGTTTATGGGCTTAGGGTTATTGGGTTTAGGATTTATGAGTTCGGGAGATTGATATAATGCGTAAAATATCGGCCATATATCGAATTTTGCAGCTGTTACGCTGTCTTTTTTCCGTTGATAATACATTACCGCACAAGTGGCGCAAAATACAAATCTTGTGTGAATTTTGAGATACTCGATATAAGAGCAAAGTCTTAGAAACGTAATGTAGGTACAAATAAATTTATAAAATTGTC